CTTCCCATAGTCTTGGCTCCATCATACTGTGGGGGCCTCCGTTTTCCTGCGAGAACTAAGGACCACATCCCTTCCTCGGGAAGGAAGTAAAAACAGTCCTGTCAGTGATACAGGTCACTTCCTATTGGTGGCCAGTTCCCTGGAAGACAGAAAGGAGGGAGTTTGAGGAAGAAGCATTTCTTCTTGGTGATGGTGATACAGCCATTCGTTCATCCTTGCCGTCTTCCTCTGTACCCATTCTAGAACCAGCCTGCTCTTTCAGCACTTGAGCTGCTCAGTGACAGGTGTCCTGTCCTGACCAACCATTGAAGTATTTGGAGAACCCCAGGGAATCCTTCGGGTTCTCGTGTAGACTTTGTTCTTCCATGCCCACCTGGGCACAACCTATCTCCTCATAGGCATTATGAGCAACAGCCTAGCAGTATAGCCTCTTCCTAGTTGTTCACTGATGCAAGTTGTGAAAAGTGGCCAGGTGGTAGCTCAGCTCTGGCTCAGGGGAGCCTTATTGTGTCCTATGATGTCTTGCCTTGGAAATAAACCACTAACCCACAAGAGTGCAAGAATCTGGAGATGTGGAATACAAATCCCGTGTCTTAGCTGCTTGTTTCATTTCAGTAACAAAAGCAACTTAAAGGAAAAAAGTTTCTTGTGGCTTAGATCTGAGGGAAGTCTTCACACCAGGGAAGGTATGGCAGCAAGAGTGAGAGGCAGCTGATTACCTGACATCTATAGCCAGGAAGTAGAGAAAGATGAATGCCATAGACATTTGATTCTGGATATTGCCAAGTTTATAATCATTATACCCATCACTCCTGTTAGGGGTTACTATGTGACTCAAATGACAGCCTAGATGGGACACTTAGGAGGGAGCCGAAGAGATGGCAAAAGCTCTTTGAGGTAGTAGACAAGGTCTGTGTCCATTACACATAGGCAAATCACTGTTACATTTTGAATATGAAATATCCCACAAGCTTATGTTTGAACATGAACCTGATGACTCCAGAGAGTGGCACTATTTTGGGGAAACCATAAAGAATTTTGGAGATGGGATCTCACTAGAGTAAGTAGATCACTGGAGGAGGGACTTCGACATCTTTATCAGGTCCCTGAGTCTTCTCCCTTTCTCTGCTTCCTGGCTGCCATGAAGTAAGCTGCTCTGCCCAGTCACACCCTCCCTGCAATGCTGGACCGACACCTCCGAAAGCACTGGCAGAAATGAATCCTTCCCTTCATCTTGCTTATCCCAGGTGTTTAGTTATGGTGATGTAGAAATAACTAAAGAGAAAAGTGGTGTTAGAGAAGCGGGGTAGTGGGGCTCTTGTGACTGACCCTGGCCATGTGGAGAAGCGAAAGGGAGCTGAATGCTGTAAGCAGTGCTTAACAAATAATGGTGGGGACTTGGAACACTAAAGTACCCATAGAAAGGTGGACAGTGATGGTCAAGCGAGTGAGTTTTCAGATGGTAATGAGAATTCTTTTGGAAATGGGACCTGAAGCCATTCATGTTTCATTCTCGCAAATAACTTATCTGTCGGCATGTCCTGAGACCTGGAGTAAAGCTAAATTTATAATGGAATAATAAATTCCACGGATGAAAACTTCAAGTCAGGATTGCCTTCAGGCCATGGCATGGCTATTGTCAGCTGCTTTTAGCCAAGCTTACAGTGAGAATGAGGATCAGAAAGCAGAATGGAAAGGTTGGGAAAACATTCAGCTCATCCAGAAAAGGAGCACATTTTACATAGATAAGGAAAGAAGGGTTGGTAGTTTAGGAGATTTGTGTCATTAAAAAGAAAGCAAGCATTTCGCACTGGAACAATCAGAAAGATGCATTCAGAGTATCTCAGTGGTGGACCAGACCCAACCTAAGGCCAGGTTAAGAGCATCAGGGTTTTAATTCATTTAGTCCTTGGGGACCTGCTTGAGTTAGTGTCATCCCCATGATACTGGTCATGCAGGCATGCAGAATGCAGGATTTACAGGGTCATGAAGGATCCCACCAGAATGTCAAAGGAAGGCATGGGAGGCTAGTCAGAGCCTGGCAGGATCATGTTCCCTGTAAACATCCCTGAGAAAGATGCAGCTGTGAGCGTAAAGCTGCAGTGGAGAATCCAAGATGTGGCTGTGGCAGAAATGGATCCGTGAGAAAGCTGCAGTCAGTGAACAGAAACAGGCAGAGAGGTCATATGAGGTACAGACAGCAAGGTGGCAGGGCTGGGGCTCCCAAGCCTGCTGGTGTTTAACCTCATGCCCCCAAATACCTGCCTCGCCAGGATGTCATGTCTGCCCTGCTGTGTTTTGGTCTTGCTTTGTTTTCAGTCCTATTTCTTGTGCCCTGATTTCACCCCTTGGAGTGGGGATGCTTCGTCTGCACAGGTTATCTTGGTCTTTTACAAAGCCCTACAGCTAAGAGTTTGCTCATCTCAAGAACAGACTTTGAACTTAGACTTCTGAACACTGGGAGAATTGGAGAGAGATTAAATGCATTTTGCATTGTGAGATGCTCATGAACCCTTGGGAACAGGGGTGGAATGTTGTGGTCTAAATATGAAATGCCCCCATAGGCCTATGGTTTTTTTTTGTTTTTGTTTTTTGTTTTTGGTTTTTTGAGACTGCTTTGGAGCCTATCCTGGCACTTGCTCTGGAGACCAGGCTGGTCTCGAACTCACAGAGATCCACCTGCCTCTGCCTCCCGAGTGCTGGGATTAAAGGCATGCACCACCAATGCCCAGCAGGCCTATGTTTTGAATGCTTGGTCCCAGCTGGTGGTGCTATTTTGGGGGTCCTGCTTAACTGGAGGAAGTAGGTAAATAGGGGCACACCGTGGAGGGTCTGTCAGATCTCTACACCCCAGCCCTTTCTCTGCTTTCTGGACACCATCATGTGAATACCCTGCTGTCCGATGCCATCTTCCGTGATGGACTGACAGTTCCAAAGCAATGCATAACAGGTGCTTTCCTTCTGCCAAAAGTGTATCTAGGCTGTGCTGACAACTCCAAGAGCAGTAACTATTACACTAATATCAGGTGGTCGCCATGGCTCAGAAAATGCCACATTAGCTGTTACAGGCTTCAGAGTTCCAGCAATTGCTGTCTTGGCAAGGTCACTGCTGACAGTTGTTTAAGGGCACATAGTAGATGATGGCCACAGTAGGTTGTCTCACAGTGATGTCACCTGCTGATACTTGTCTCTGTTTGCTCTGTGTTTATCAGATAGTAAACTGACGCCTCGACACAAACTCCATGTCAAAGGTGCACAGTTCCCTTACCACTGTTGCCTGTAGCTGGAAGTTTCTCTCCCACCCACCAGTTCCCAAATAACCACTCTGAGGCTTACTATTAATTCAAACTGTTTGGCCTATTAGCTTAGGCTTACTATCAACTAGCTCTTACAACTTAAATGAACCCATTTCTATTATTCTATGTTTTACCACGAGGCTTGTGGCTTGTTACTTCTGATCTTGCTTCTCGGGTGACTGCAGGTGTCTCCCTGACTCCGCCCTCTTTCTCTCCACATCTCTGTTTGGATTTTCCACCTGGCTCTATTCTTCCGACCATTGGCCAAGTCAGCTTCTTTATAAACAGTAGTAATAAAATATAGTCACAGCATAGATAGGGGCATTCCGCATCAGTTGCTGAGTGTTCTGATGTGATTGGGTGGCCATGCGATGGCCTGTGGGTAGCTGCCCGGTGTTGGTGAGAATGACAGCTCTTGGCTGTTTCACCCCTCGTGAACCCTCAGTGAAAGGGAGGGAAGTTGCCAAGAGGCCTGCCAGTTCCAGCCAGCTGAGTAGAGCATTATTTCACTGTCTGGGATTTTGAGGGACTCTGGAATGTCTGTTCTCTTAAAATCACCTCAACCAGGATTTTTAAAAATGTATTTATTAGGCCGGGCGTTGGTGGCACACGCCTTTAATCCCAGCACTCGGGAGGCAGAGGCAGGGGGATCTCTGTGAGTTCGAGGCCAGCCTGGTCTCCAGAGCCAGTGCCAGGATAGGCTCCAAAGCTACACAGAGAAACCCTGTCTCGAAAAACCAAAAAAAAAAAAAAAATAAATAAATAAATAAAAAATAAAAAAAAATGTATTTATTGTTTGTTAGAGACCGAGTCTTATGTAGGTCAGAATGGCCCCAAACTCATGGTGTAACCTAGACGTGCTGCAGGCCTCCTAAATGCTAGGATTACAGCTGTCAACACACCCAGCCTTCAACCATGAGCCTTTAGATTTCTAAAAATTACATTTATTTAGTGTGAGTGTGTTTCTCTCTCCCTCCCCCCCTTTCTCTGTCTGTTGCTGTCTGTCTGTCTGTCTGCCTCTCTCTCTGTCTCTGGAATTCATGGAGGACAATTTGCAGGAGTCAGTTCTCTCCTTCCATCATGTTGGTCTTGGGGATTGAACTCAGGTCTTCAGGCTTAGCAGCAGGAGCCTTCATCAATGAGACTTAATGGCTCTCTCAATCAGAGTTTTTAAGGGAGAAATAAAGCATTTTGTAAACACCACGGGCAGGAGCACCACCCCAAACAGCAATCCAAGTTTTAGGGTGTGTCCCTGAACTCTAGGCTCTTTTCAGGACTTTGAGTGTTTGAAGCCACTGAGATGAAAACAAAACAAATGTAATAAACAGGATAAAAATAAACCCCTGCTGCTGGCGCAGAGTGGATTGAACATGAAGCATCTAGATGGAAGAATAGAGTTGAATTCCAAGGCTGGAAATGTCACTGGGCTGTGAGACACTGAAAGGCTGTTAGCCCCAGATTTATACAGCCCACTGCATGATTTCTTCCAAATAGTACAAATAAAAAATAAACCAAAAAATTGAAGACCTTGATTTAAAAAAAAATTATTATGGGTAAGATTCAGTGCTAGGTAACTATAAAAGCTAGTCTGCTCTATTTTCATTTCCTCGGGTGGCCTTGTTATTTTAAATTATAAAAAATTATTCTTTTTTAACATTAAAAAAGAATTTATTATTTTACATAAACATGATATAAGGATAACAGTCAGGTAGTCTTGTGGACTGGAAGGTGAAATTCCCTTTCATTCCCAAACCTCATCAGGCAGTCACTACATTTATGAGGCAAGTCAGCTGAATGTTTGAAATCAAGATGAATTTTAAGATCTTCAATTTGTCCTGTTGAATATTCACAATATTGACATAAATAAATCCCTTCAGATAAATATGAATTTACATGCTTGCAATATTCTAACATGCTGGAAAAACCCTTCCCACAGTCATCGCAGACTTGAGGGAATATTTTAGTATGCTCAATAGCAACATGTCTGTTCACATTGGTGTGAAGTCTGCTCTGAAATCCACATACTTGACATACAAAAAAGTTTTTACATTTGTCAGAGGTGGCCTTCCTTAAAAGGCTGCACTGTCCATGCCCCCCACTGCTGCACTTGTCTCTTAGCTCTATCAGTCTTCAAACATGCTCATTGACCACGTGGCTATGCAGGTCCTCAGGGTCACCTGGCTCATGCTCACAGAACTGGCACAGGTACTGCTCATCGAGACTGTGCTCCTGGAACTGCAGGCAGAGCTCACTACTTGAGGAGAACTGCACATCACACTGCTCGCACCAGTAAAGGTGGTCGCTGAAGTGGGTGTCTGCAAAGTGCTGACTGAGGTTCTCGAAGATCACTGTCTTATAGTCACAGTACTTACAGATGTAGGGATGTTATTCATGAAGTTTGGCATGCTCAATGAGAAGCATATTGGTGGAAAAGCTTTCCTTACACACTCGACACACATTTGAGTCAGTACGCTTGTGCTTCAGGATCATATGCTGCTTTAGGTCAGAAAAATACTGTTGAATTCACAAAGTTCACACTTGTAGAGGCCACTGCTATTGGCTCTCAGTAAAGGCCACTTCTGTTGGGCAGTCACATTCAAAGCTTGGCTCTTGTCAAGTATTTTACAGAGTTTAGCTGGTGGTTCTTCATCAGTCTGGTCTTGGAGGCTCTCGGAGGAATTGTTCTCTGTCTTTATATCATAGTCTTTAGAAATGGCATGAACTTCTACAGCAATGGGGACGTCCTCGGAGGTGCGAACCTCTATAGGGCTCTCTTCTTGAGTTTGCGGATGCACTGACTCAGGGGAGTCACATTTTTCATCACAGATTTCAACATCAGCAGACTTGTCTGTGGAAAAGACAGTGTGGTCTAGAATTCTAAGCACCGGGCTGGGGACCAGGTAGTTCTGATTCCTATGTCTGCCTTTGCTTCCATCTGTAAACTTGGGCAAGTCATTTGATGTCTCAGAATCATCATCTTTGTTGTCAAAGTATTTTAAATCTGGCTGTCTCATAGAGCAGACACTGTAACAATGATCAGAAAAGATCCAACTGATCCCATCTGTGATCCTGCTTATTCCAGAAGAATCTGAATAACGAGAAGAGTGTAAACTCTTCCTTTTTCTTTTTTTTAGGATATTCATTCATATATTTTCAATTTGGTATAACTGTCAATACTGCAGTGAGGAAAATGAATTACAGACAAATTTCCAGAGATGGCAAAAAATGCCTCATTTCAAGCAATGAAGAAACCAACTCCGATACAGTCCATGATGACATAGCAAGACCAAAGATGTTGTCTTTGGACTGCTGGCATCAAGTAACTAACTCTGTGTACGAGAATCCTCATTGGTCCATACCATCACCAGCAAGTTCATCTTGCTTCAAGTTCTTAGCCATGAGTAGAAGAGGGGAGGTGACATCTGAAAAACTCAGGCAACAGCGTAGCTCCGCCAAGGGCCCCCCCCACCCCCGCGATGGTACGGAGGGGGCTGCCGGGCCATCGCCCGTGCCCTCCCTGCCCACCAGGCCAGGCCTCACTCCATAAAAATTATTCTACTAGCATAATTAGTTACACATAACGATGGTTTTCATTATGACACTCTCACTATGTATATAATTTATTCTGAACATATTCACCCCTTTCTGTCCTTCCTCCTGCTCAACCCCCTCTTCTCAGCCAGACTCCCTTCTACTCTCATGTCTGTTTTTGTTTGTGTTAGTGGCTCCAGGAGTTTAACTGGGATTTTTTTTTCAAGAATATCATCCACTCACCAATCCCAAGACAACAACATCGAGATAAGGTTATCACCCAAGTGCCAGGCTTTATTTGAACTTCAGTAGTTTGACCAGTCCTTTCTTTCATCTATGTTAGAATGCAATCCGAATTCTATACTGTATTTAGTGATTTTCTATGTCCATGTCGGGTTTTCTAGATGAACAGGACTGATAGCATATGAATATATAATACAAAGGAAGGATTCATGAGATTGGCTTACACAGTTAGGTCTGCATAGTCCATCTGTACACTGGAGACTGAGGCCCCAGTGTCTGCTCAGTCCACAGGGCAAGATGCCTCAGTAGTCCCAATCTGGTGCTGCAGGCCTGGAGATTCCTGGAGACCTGCTGCCTTTTCAGTTGATGTTGGGAGGCTGAAGAAGCTGGGTTTTGATGTCAGTAAAGAATGGCAACCTCAATAGCAGCAACAGAGTAGATGCGCTCACCAGCAGGGTGTAAAGGAGGGTAGGCAAAAGCAGCTGTTTTTATATCTGGGCTGCTGAGGAAAGGTTCTGCTCACTCTGGGGGAGCCGGTCCCCATTAATCCTTCCAGGAAATACTTTCACAGGGTTGTGGTACTATGCCCAGGGGAACTTACAGTGTAACCATGATTTCACACAGTGGCCTGGCTTCTTCCATCTCCCACCATGTATGAGGCACTTGTGCTCACTGTGTTTCCACAGAAACTACTGGAGCTGTTGATCCTCTCTTCTGATATTGGGCCAGGAGACTCTGTTTTGACTTTGGGTATAAGAGTCTAACTCCTTAATGTGACTGCCAATTTCCCCATTTGGCCTTTGCCTGCTTCTCTGCTGCCCCCTGTCCCCCTGCTCCTCTGCCCCCCTGCACTCCTGCTACCTGGGTTGTGATGCTGGGGCCCTTCCAGGTCTCTGAAAGCTGGGTGAGTTCTCCTGGTCTTACAAGTTTGGCTTATACTTAGAACACAGTCTGTGTCCCTTTTTTTCTGCACCACACAAGGTGCTGTTGGTTAGTCACTATAACATTTAACACCCAAACAGTCTCCAGCCTAAAATTAAATCCAGGACGTGAGGCTTTCGACAGACATCCCCAGCTCTGCCAAGTCTGGGAATGGAGCACCTCTCCTCTGGTGCCAGCATGGGAGAGCTGGGCCTCCCTTTAGCTCCTTATCACTTTCTCTAAGGGGTGTGGTCAAAGCAGAAGGGTGTTCTTCAGAGGGAAAGGGATTGTTTTGTAGGGTGTTGTGATGGCTGTTGTAATTCGATGGACGCTGGGCTTTAAGTAGCATGCATGCATTTGTTTATTACTTTCTGCTTTTTGATGTGGGTGTGAAGTGACCAGCTGCTTCAAACCCCTGCTGCCTTAACTTCCCCACTGTGATGGACTGTACCTTGAACCCTCAGCCAAAATACACCTTAAATTGCTTTTTTTTTTTCTTCTTAAATTGTTTTTATCTTTTTTTTTTTTTTTTTAAATTGTTTTTTTTTTTTCTTCTTAAATTGTTTTTATCTTTTTTTTTTTTTTATCACAGTGAAACAGAATAAACTAAGATGGAAGCTGGCACTAGAAGTGACGCCATTACTTCATGAACCTGACCATGTGGCTCTTGGGCTTTTGGAACTGTTTTGTAGTAGGGATGTGGAAGAGCTTGGGTCTTCAGTCTAGAAAAGCCACTGGATGCTATGAGCAGAGGCTGATGGCCCATTCTGGTGGAGCTTAAAAGACAAAAGTACTGGGAGAAATGTGGATGAAGGGCTCAGAGAACACAGATTCTATCAGGAATTAACTAGGGGCCATAAATGTACTTTTGCCAAGAATCTGTTTTTATTCTGTCCATGTCTTAAGAACCTGAAGTGAGGCAAATCAACAAATAATGGGCTAATTTGTTTGTCAGAGGAAACTTCAGGACAGGAGAGCATTCGTGCTGGAGCTGATAACAGCCACGCTGGCTCTCGAGAAGCCTCCCGTGCTGCTGAGCTGGGGCAATAGGGAAGGTGTCTAGGGGTGGGTTTAAAGTCATTTAAATAAAGATAGCCTAAGCTGAAGGGGACCCCTGCTCCTCCGAAGCAACTGCCTGAGAAAGTGTTTCCCCGGTGTCAGCATCCTGAGCCAGTGGGAGAACTTGTTGGCAGCATCCATGCGATTGCTGGTTATGAAGGCACAGAGAATGCAAGATTGAGGGGGTCATGGGGTGCAGCAGAGGCCAGGTGCTGTGTGGCAGGGTTGGTGTCTATGCAGAAAGCCCCTGAGGATCATAGGACATCTGCCAAGGAAAACTGCTGGCACAGGCTGAAGCCCCTGACCTCTGATAGAATCTATGTGTACATGGGCGGCAGAGCTGGAGGGGCGGCACTTCTGAGGCTTCCAGAGCTTGGTTGATTACATTATGAGCCTAAATCAACTTTCCCCCTTAAACAGGCAGAGAACAAGTTTCCTTCTTCCGTGTCCTTTAGATAGGTTGCCACCAGAAGGTGTGGCCCAGATTAAAGGTGATCTTTTCACAGCAAGAGATCTGGATTAAGTATGGGTCTTTCCACTTCGAATGGTTTAGTTAAGAAAAATGCCTCACAGGTGCACCCAGCCACTTGGGTTTTAGTTAATTCCACATGTAATCAAGTTGGCAAACAACCAAGAATAGGTATCACAGCAGGAAATTGCCAAGAGTATTCATCCCCCTGCCAGTATTAGATGCTTGCCAACTGTTTTCCGGTTGTAACACCCCAGATCTGGGCTTCTTGTGGAGTTCTGGATTTCCTTCAAGTGTCTAAGGGAGTGAGTTAAGTAAATCCACTCATGACAGTTGGATCCAGTTTTTAGACACAGGGCCCAGTTGAAAATAATATGTGCTTCAGTCACCACTACTTCATCTCTGGTACTGTTCGTGCCCCAATCTCGTCACTAACAGAGGAGTTGTTCCTTTTACATGAGGTGGCATCATGTTAGTCTTGTCATTGCCTTGAGCGACAGTGATAGCATCTTTGTTCTGTGGCTTTCTTGGTGGAAGAGAATGACAGTTTCAAAGACAATACCTTTCCCAGGTTACTTCAAAGCAGAAGGTACCCCTGGGTCCTCCCCTTTGAACTCTGGGCCTCCAATCTCTGCTCTAGTGGCAACATCTCACTCTGCTTCCAAGATTTAGTAGAAAGGACCTGGCGTGAAACTGCAGACCTGCTTTGCCTGTTCGGGTTCTTCTCCATTTCCTGGTGTCCTCAAGGATTCAGACCACAGTAGGCACAACACATTACAGCCTTCCACCACTCCCCGTGGTAGGCAGACATGGCCTGAAAGTTCTTGACCAACCCACAACAGGTTGATTCTAATAAGGCACTCTCTCCCACAGGTGATCCCAGGGCACCTCCCCGCTCTCAAGGCCTGAGATGAAGATTAACCTTGAGAGTTTCTTTAATCTGGAATCACTGGGTTTGGGAACCTCACCTCATACCTTCTCTTGAATTCCACAGAAACCAGGGTGAAATGGCCCACACCTGCCGTGGAACCATCAACCTGGCCTCCGCACACATCGACACAGAGGACTCTTGTGGAATCATGCTGTGCAACGGGGCAAGGACCTACCACCTCAAGGCCAGTTCAGAGGTGGACCGGAAGCAATGGATCACGGTTCTGGAGCTGGCCAAGGCCAAGGCTATCTGTGTGATGAAAACTCAGTCAGGTAGTGGCCACTCAACACAGGGGGTGTGTATGAGTGGTGTCATGGTGTCCTGTTAGAGGAAGTGTCGATCAAAAACACTGGGGAACAGGAATGACTGGGAAACCCAAGGGAGTCCAGTCCGATTCAGAAGGCCCAAGACCTATGTGTGCCCTTCCCACTTGACTGGGTGTACCCTCCTCAGTGAGGCAGCTGTTCTGCCAAGGTGTTTGTGGGTGGCTGGCAGTCCTGGGGATGGAAATGTTTGAGGTGCCTGGGACTCTGTGTGCCTTGTTTTGAATAAGAATGGTTATGAGAACTTTAGTAGATGCTTCAGATGTTTAGGTAATCCAGGCCCAGAAGCAGTGTTATTGGGTGGGGGCCCAGGATGTTGTACCTATGCCCCAGGCTCGACTTTCCCCAGTTCACATTGTGAGTACCGACGACAATTTCCCATCCTAGTTTGTCCAGGCAGGACGTCAACTCTGATGGTCCGAACATATTTTACCTTCTTAAATTAATTTTTAAACATACAGTGTCTTACATGATTTATAATCTAATAGTTCTAAAACCCTGTAAGTAGAACCCAAGTTTGATTCCTGCCCAGAGCTGCCTACCTTGGTCTCTCACTGGAGGCCGTCAGAGGTGCCAGAAGCAGCCAACTTCACAATATGCCCCACATTTAAATTGCAACACCCCACCGCCTTTCCCCATTTAACTATTTATCCTAAATGTGTCCTTTGTCTTTGTCTTTGCATTGCCTTTGTCTTTGCAATATGGTTTTTCATTGTATGGAGGTACCGTAGTTCGTTTAACCTGTTGTCTGTGGATGAGCCATTAGGCTGTTTTCTTAAGATTTATTTATTTTATG